GGCTGCGAATATGTGACCCTGAAAAACATCAATGAGACATTAAAGCAGGAGAATAGTAAAACCAGTACCTGCAGAAATGCTGTCAGAGGAGTTCGAGATGGAAACAAGGTGAGTCTATGAGGACGGCCTTTGATTTTCCATTGTTCAAGAGTGAACTGTGGTTTGCAGACTCCACTGCGGGCACACCTGCAAAGCTGTTGGAAAACTCTGTGCGACTGATGTAATCTGGCATAATGCACAGTCTAACGTGTTCTTGAAAGCAGTTCATGGCACCCAGGAGAGAGGGGTGGAAAAAAGTGTGCATGTGTTTTAAATTTGAGATCTAAAGTTCAGTTTGAAACCACAGCAGAGATGGAGGCTTCAAACAGCATCAATTTCAATCATATATTGGAGGAATTGTTATGTAATTGGTGAGAATAAAGGTGAGGGAGTAGTAGCAGTGGCTGCAGAGGAATGTGGAATCGTCTCCGTCAAAGGCTGATGCACTGCTGGGGAAACTGTCTCTCTTCCACCCCGAAGCTGATTTAGTGCTCCGCCGTCTCTTGTTGCAGCTCTGAGGTCAAACACACACAGTCTCTCTGTGTCTCTGTGCTAAGTGTTGTCGGTGTGTGGGTCATATGTTGGGCTATTGAAAAGGGAAAAACTACAATTCTTTTTTAAATCTTGATTTTTTTTTTCTCATGTAGCTCTCATTGGGTGCTGTTACCAAAGGAGTGTGTGTGTGGAGCGTGAGACAGGTGAGACAGGATGATTGGCCTGTGGTGGACAGACTAGTGTGGCCTTCAACTTGGAATTTATTTGGTGAATATCTGGTGGATGAAAGAGAATAAGAGCAGCTTAAACTTAAGGTTTGAAGAGCTCAAATCTCTGGGACAATCTGCACGGAGGAATAAAAACACTGTCCAAGATGTCTCACATTCAGAGACCACAACCAAAGCCAGAAATGCTGTGTGGAACAATAAGAACTAACCGAGCGCGCCCTGACATATAACATGTTGGTTTGTGATTTAATTTGCATGGGTTAAATTAGCCTTTACTTTCTGTGTACCACTGTGCACCTGGTGTCAGTCTGCAATAACACTTAAATCATCTCATTTTCCATGCTTTGTTGTGTTGTTTACAGCACGAACATGATAGCATGTAGAAGCTGCTCACACGCGTGTTGATCCTTGGACCTAATGTGTCCGCCGGGAGCTGTGCTGGCGCAAGTGGAGATGGGAGGCTTGTTGGGGATCTCGGCCTGCTCTCTGTTAGTTCAACACCCTGCTTAATAATGGATGTTGTTTTTGTGCTGATCTAATGCACATTAGGATCCTTTTAACCTAATGCAACCTACGAGCCCTCAGCCCTGACGCCGTGCCGCTGACTCCTCAGAGCAGACTGGTGTGTTTGCTGCGGCTTCACAGTATTTAGTTATGGCAGATAACTGCTGGTTAACGGTTCCACTGTTTGTGTTTCCCCCTCTTCTATTAGGGTATGTTTTAAAACTTCATTAGTTTTAATGTTCTAGCTAATTTATTTTTCCAAACAAAGTTCCATCTTTGAAGGACAAACTGAAATATTTGCCTGTATCTGGGTCACGCTGCACATTCAAGACACTGAAAGTGGCTGATATGATTCATTCATTTCATTTCAGTCTGCGTTCGAAGTAGAAACAGCTGATGCTCTCAAAAGAGATCATTGTTTTCGCCGCATGGCTTGCTTCATAATTCAGCACAAACACCGCAGCATGTGGGGCATTTAAAACGGACTTTTTTTTATTTGTCCTGTGATAAGTAGGCAAAGCTTTTGGCGACCAAAGCATGTGAGCAAGAGATGTGTGAGCATCAACGCTGGCGTTGTTTTTGTGAGATCCTGAGATGACGTTAGTGTGAATAACGGCATTAACCAAAAATCCACTGCAGCCCTTTAAAGGCTCGTAATGATATCTTTACCTCTGTTACGATGTACCACCCAGTGAAATGTCTGGATACCGCAGATTGATGAATTACTGAAGATGCAGTAACAGAGCACATAAAGGTTTCCCAGTCCATGAGACTTTTAGCTCTTGCAGCATGTTACAAATGACAAAAATCAAACAGAGGAATGCTTTTATTATTAAATGCTTTACTTGATGTTCATGTGAAATACAGTAATGTGGAAAAGTCTTGAGCCACCCCTCATTTCTTTATATTTTAGCTTCCAAAGAGCCATTTTTAAAGCAGCCTTGAGCAACCCTTCTCAAGGTTTTCTGGGGATCCTTAAAAGTTAAAAGATAAAAGTTTTACTACTTTCAGTAAAACTCTAAACCTGTTTTAAACTTTGTTGCAATATATATAGAAACGAGGGGTGGCAACGACACTCCCCACTTATGGAGACTACATTGCACGTGTGGACCACAGAAGCATGAATTAAGCGTTAAGTGCAGTGAGAAAAATACACTCCTGTCAGTTTTCAGGCTCTAGGAATGGCAGCTGCTAAAGAATTAGTCTTTGTGATACTCGCACTTTAAGAATGTCGTTTTATCTGCTTTAATGAACACTTAAAAAGACGACATCTGCACACAAAGGATGTAAAAACAAAATGAATCGTTATTTCTGTCCACCTCAGAGTCAGTGGATTGCAAGCTTGAAGTTTGTGTATCAGGGATCTATCTTTAGCCATAATATGCCAGCAGCACACAGCACACATCTCATACTTCTGAAGCCATGTCATGAGACCGCTCTCTGCCCCCCCTGCCCTTCCCTCCTCTCGGTTTCTGTATCGTTACGATCAGCGTAGCACAAAAATATTGTCCCTGTTGGCCTTTCCCATACTTCCAAACTACGTGTGTTATTTTATTGCTGGTTGCTCGCAGTGCATCTGATTACGGAGACCGTTTTTGCAGTCTTGGGACGTGGGAAAGAGGATGAAGGGGGCGTTTGTACCATTATGGGAGCAGATATAAGGAAATGGCCCAGTGAGATTCATTCCACTACACTCATAGACAGTAACGCAAGTGAGCATCAGTGTGTCAGATTGTGAGAGTAATTGCACTGTGTTTTCTTTCTTTTTTTTTAATATTATGAGAGTAGTGGAGTTAGACATGGGAAAATGACCTCATCCTACATGAAGTCAAAAGTCACAGAGTGGACACATTTTTAAAAGTCTGTGAGTTTCTGAGTGTGTGGGCATAGCAGAATAGAATAATAAGGAAACTCTGAACACGGGGGAGTACATCTTGTTGAAAAAGTAATTATCAAAGGCCGGGGAAGGGAGTGAACTCTCTTTGGAGCGTAGCTGCGGAGGGAAGACCAAAGAGCTGCGTATCAAAGAGGGGCTGGCCTCAGGTCTTTGAAACCTGCTGCTGAAGGCCTGTCCACAGATCTGTTTATGTTCTGGGACTGCTCAGAAATTCAAATGCCCTGATTTTCCTTGGCGTTTATTAAAAAAAGCAAAAAATGGGAGTAACGTTTTTCAATGTGACTCGTGTGGGGTTATGAAAGTGACTCTGGAGCTTCTGGATTGTCAGGGTTATGTTACTAGGAGAAATCACGACAGCAAAATGGGACGAATGACAAAGTAAACGCTGGTGATTCGAGTAAGAAAAGAAAACGTTGACTCACTGAACAAACCCACCGGTCATAGCCAGACGGTCTTTATGCTTACCTCACCATTGGCAGAGGCCTGGTTGGTAGATTTAAGGTGGCGTTATTCCAGGTATATGCAGGTGACATGACAGAAAACATGGATAAAGTAATGGTAGAATCCTCCTTGAATGCTGTGTTATGTGTCATTTTAGTTTTGTGAGGAAGAGTGAAGCTACCTGTGCTGCCTTCACAATAACAGGGTGGTGATATTTGGGATATTAAAATGCATTTTCACACTTAAACAAGTCTTCTTCTTCTTCTTCTTCTTCTTCTTCTTCACCTCCTCCTCCTCCTCCTCCTAGGTCACAGCTTTTGTGGACATCGGGCATTAACTTAACATCAACTTTTCAGCTAATTGTTGAGAGAAGAAAGAGCTCTCTGTCTTTTTTAATTTCCACAGCTCCGTTTAAAACACTTCAAGTGCTGTCAGAGGTGACCTTATAACAGAGCCATTCAAAGGTTTATTAGTGTTCTGTTGTAACAGTTGTGAGTCAGCAGAGCCCTCTCTGAAAGACACAGTCTGAGAACCGAGCCAGGTCTAGCTTCGCCTGATCACTGTAACAGGTGGTCCGCTGAAATGTAATATAGTCAGCCTAGTCCCTCGCTATCTCCCCTGATGTGTGGTCTGCTCTGATTCTCTCCACTGTATTTACATTCTTTGTGTACTCCGTCTCCTCTGCCTTTTTGGAAAACGTTAATTCTGATGGCATGTTGAGTGGATCTGGCCGGCATTTGGCTCCAGAACACCCCGGGGATCTGTGTGTGCTGGAGAAAGTGTCTGGCAGGTCAGCGTGACAAGTTGACCTTGTTTTCTCTGAAGCATTGTGAGAACGTGCAATTTGGTTGCTACAGCTGCCACCGTCCATCTCTTTGTCATTGGACTCAACAATTTAAACATCACCTGATCCCGCGCGGGCCCCAGACAGAGGAGTGCTCTGTTCCTACTCGCAATGCAGTGCAATATGGCTTCCTCTATCATCTATAATACTTTCAGTTCTTTCTTTGATTAAGAGTCTGTGCAACATCAGAAGGTGGCATCCTAAGTCTGCACCTAGTGTGCCTCTGACTTTGTTCAAAAACTAAAAAACGCCCAGTCTCCTTCTCCACATCTTTTTTTTTTTTTTATCAGAAGAGCATCTGTCTAGTAAAAGCAGAACCCCCCACCAAAAATAATCTCATAAAGATGCAATAAAAAAATCACAGGTGCCGTTTCTCTGGACCAAAAGAAGACACATTTTTATATAGAATTAAAGATAAATTGAACTATCATAGTTTACAGTCTGCATGCTGTAAATTGCTAAGGTCTAATTAATGCATTTTAAATGCATAAATATTTTAAAAGTACAATAAGTTAATTCTTACTTCCTCTCTCTGTCTTTTTCTATTTTCCAGGCGCACGGCTGTAAATGAAAGCAATACTGTGAAACTGTCCTTTAGATCAGAGGTGGGCATTTAATTTTCCCAATGGGCCACATGAGACACTGGGACTGTTGTGGAGTGCCGCACCAGTAATCTTATAAAGAGATCAAAGTAATACTGAGCAGAATTGATTTCAGCTTATTGCTAAATATGTGGAGTCCAGGCACAGCATCCTGTTTCAGTGGATAGAGCATCAATTCTGCTCAATATTACTTTAATCAATATTAATTCATTTAATTTTTCATATCTCTCGGCTGGCCTGAGAACGCCTTGGTGTTCCCCCGGACAAGCTGGAGGAGGTGGCCGGGGAGATGGAGGTCTGGGCTTGTCTGCTTAGGCTGCTGCCTGGCAATAAGTGTAAGAACATGTATGATGTGATTAATTTACTGTCTTTATAAGCTTTATATAACTTTATTGGTGCGGTCCTTCATAACAGTCCCAGTATCCCAGGTGATGTTATGTTCTAGGTGTTTATTGCACTTGTTTGTACACTCCGACCTCCTGCGTAGTGTTAGTGTTGGTCAAAATCACTCACGGTGCCCTAAGGATTGAATCAGCGCTCAACATTTTCTTAAACAGCAAAATCAACACCTAACCAGATAACTTGCCATCAGCTGATTCAACTCATCTGTTAATGGTTGATTTTGGTTAATTGATTGATTGAATATTATCTCATGCATAAAATAATACGCCTAGATGTTTTTTCCAAGTTCCAGAAACAAAGGCAGCTTATAAAACCATTCTGCCGTCGTCATTACACCAAAACATTTATAACAACTTGGATATTTTTAACACAATTTTAAAAAAAAAAGGAGAAGAAAGAAATCAGACTGGTACTCATTTTCTTCTAACACACACAAGCTGTTATCTTCTTGGATAATTTTCACTCTAATGACTTCAAATGCAAGAGAAAAGATGCTTGTTTGCACCTGTGCAAATAAATCTTTCAGCTGTGTTTCAGATCTAGCAAGTTCCTTCTACGTGCGTTCATCCCGCGTGATTAGCTGGCTATTCAGCACTAATGATCTGAAATGTGTGCTTAGTTTGATACTGATGAGCGTCATCTGGTTGAATCGCTCTTGATATGTTCACACTGAGTCCAGTTTTTAGATGCTGCTTCTGTTTGCTGCTGTCGGCAGGTACTCATGAGAGCTGCTGTGTGCAGCCAACATGGAGCCATCCGCCTGGCCAAAAGTTGCATCAGTGTCTCCTCTGCATGGGAGTCCTGATTAATTACCTAAAGCCTCACTAACTTGTAACAGCTAATGCAAGCCAACAGGGTAAAAAGGAGCATGCATATTCAAGAAGGGAAACCAGAACAATCACCCAGGTCTAAGAGGCTTGTGGTATTGACGCGTTAATGGAGAGATCCTTTACAATTGGCTTCGTGAACTGTGGATAATAAAAATATGAAAGATTATCTGCACGAATACAGCATGCACAATTGTTTGCAAGATATGAGAAATGCGTAACAAAATCCAGTGGTGACACATCATGTATATTTATTAATCCATGCTGGAGAGAAGTCAATCTTTCTTTTATTTGAGTGGATTACTCATGGCATTATGGAGAAATGTGCCTGCTGTGCCAGAGATGTGTGTGTGTGTGTGTGGGGGGGGGGGGTCTTGGTCTTGCGTGGCATATGTGCATTAAAATGCTTCATGTGACAAGGACTTCACTGTGTGTTTGCAAGAGTTACATTCTTTTGCACCATTTCACTGAGACGAGTTGACCAAACTCAGTTGTTCTACAGTGGATTTGTCAATCTGTCGAATATGTCTACAGAGAAAGTCAATGGCATTTATTTATTTAGAGATAAAGAATAAATGTGGATGTATTCCTGTTCACTGAGCCCTGTTATTAGCCTAAAAAAACAGAAGAATCTCAGTTATAGACGCATCAATACTTTATTTTTTACGTAACATAATCTTGAAATGAAATAGTGCAAATAGTGTAAATAGATAAGAACTTTGATCCATTTTAAAACTCTTTCTAACAAGATAAGAAGATATTATTTAGCTTCACTAATTCAACCGTGAGTCCTGTGACATGAGCAGGTGCAGTTTAATCTCCAGCTGCACGCGAGATACTTTAGTTGCGTAGATTATAGCAAGCTATGTTCGAAGAGGGAAAGAGAAAGATGCAGAGGAAGGGGATGGTATCCATAAACAATTAAGGAAACTCGAGGAAGCAATTTTATTTTTAGCTTTTATTTTTAGTCATATCTGCCATTGCAACTAAAGGCAACATCAGAAATTATTTTGTTGCCTCCTTGATCTTAGACAAAGGTACAAGGTCACGCTAACGCAACATTCATTTCTTATTAGTAGAAATATAACTAAAGTCTACTGATCCATTCAATGTAATCAGTGTAATCCATCCATCCTCCATCTTCTTTCCCAAATCGTTTTTGGGGGCTTTTCTTGCCTTTAATCGATGTTTTTAGTGAAGAGGAGACATGAAAGCGAGGAGAAAGAGAGCACGTGGCCTCGGGTCAGAATCAAACCCAGGCTGCTACATTTGGTTTTGTGGCATGCGGGTACATGCTCAGCCACTGAGCTAAAACGTCTTCATTTCTTTGTTTATTTGATAAATAAAAAGATAATCAGTGTTCCTTTTTGGGCCTCTCCAGCGTTCCTCTTGTGTTTATATTAGCCCAGCTGTGACCTTTTAGCTAGCCAACATGCCAACTACATCCGGCAATTTACTTTTCCACTTCAACAGTTACTTTATCAATGTTTAATAATAATAAAAATAATTACAAGCTAAACTAATTTATACAAAGATTAAAAAAAACATTTGTGGGGAGTTAGTATTTTTAGTTAGCAGAAAATCTTTTCTTGATGTCAAGATGAACCAAAAATGCAGATTATGATCTTGTCATTTAAAGCTGCAATTGTGTGAAATTTTCTTCGCTACATGTCATTAGATTGCAGATTCTGTTTTTATATCCCTCAGGATTCAATGGCATAATCCCAGCTACGGTAGCTGCTATAGGACAAACGTGTTAGTCAGCCACGAGGGATCAAAAAAGATCAGATTTAGACTGTACCCCATGACTGCCAAAACCAAATAATGTCAGCACTTAGAAATAAATAAGGAAGTAAAAAACCAATGCGGTAGCTTAATTAAATATTTTGCAGTATTTTATGTTCACCCTCAGGTCACCTCAAAAACACACCATTCATCAGGAGTGAGTGAACTCCTATTGCTTCAACAACTATTACTTTTTAGCTTTAGCTGCACTTTATACAGTCTGTTTGACTTGTAAATGTATTTTATAAACCATATTGAGATCTTAATACGTTGTTAAATATGCAAAGATTTAATGTTTAGTGATTTAACTTTAATTCACGGTATCGTCTGAGCTTTTTTCTCTTTATGTGCGATATCTTCACCTGACGATCTTTTGTTCTTTTGTACTGTGTGGGGAAAAAAAAATGATTAAAAGCCCGACTGCAGCATGAAGGGGAGACGGCTTGTTTGGAAGGTAAAAACATTAAGTAGGCTGATGAAAAATTTACAGAGACTACAGTTCCAACATTTGCAAAGCCATAGCTGCCTCTCTGTGATAATGCAGCTACTTTGAATAGCTGTCATTACAAATGCCTGGCTGCTGAGTGGTTTTGAAGCCGTTTCATGACCCGACTGGGAAACTGCACCCTGAAGCTTGTCAGGAGCAAATAAAAGTTCTGGCACTTTGAATGGCTCTCTCCTTTATCTTTAGCCTGATTGCATTTCCTCCGTGTTAGATACAGCAAGTGTGCCGCTGAGGGATTACGGCGTGATAAATGTCAGAGGCCACAGCAACTCTCAGAGACCTAAATACAACCTGTACAGCCACCTTGATTCCTCTCTTTCCCTCTTTCTTCCCTCCTCTCTATCTGATCTATCTCATCTATGGTCTATTCACTTTTCTCAGACTTATTTACATCTGTACAAAAAGCAGCCTGGCTGAGGCACCGTCCTCCTCATGCTCCCTCTCACTCTCTCAGCCTATTTCTGGTGTCAGTGAGGTATATGATCTGCTGTATCATATAAGCAAACAAGCTTGATAGGCCATTGTTATTCTTAGATGTAGGAGGGCTGGAAACATGTCACCGAGCTGTCGCCTCGTTTCACCAGCACGCATATGGGAAATTATTTGGTTTACATACACGGGAGGCATGCATCCTGTTCTTCACGACAGAGTCCGGGGCAGTAAATTTAGCATATTAATTATAATTAGATTCAATACGGTCCTTGTTATTTTTAAGATAATTAAGCTCTCGTGTGCTGTTCTGTTTATGCTGCCTTTATGCCTCTCAGCAGTGCTGTCACCAGACAGGATAGCGCACAGATTATGGCCATTAAAAATAGGACTGACCAGCTCGCAGTACAGAGAGATAAGCTCTGCTGCCTCCATGTTACTTCTTCTTCTCTGGAGTATAACATTCGATGGTCGTCCATTCATGTTTTGATCCAGCGGATTCTCAGACTTTTCTTTTGGGCATAAACATGAATCGAGGGAATCCTTGCTATGTAAATATTAATACAGCACCTTAAAATGTAACCCTGGGACAGAGGAAGCTGATTATACAAGGACACTGTAATGCAAACAGAACTGCACTTTCTCTCCTTTAGATAAATGAATTCAGGGCCGTGTCTGCCTGCTGACCGCTGCAAATTCACTGAATTAAGCGTTTGGGGAGCAGCGAATGAGACGTAGCAGAGAATGAAGTGTGTCATGTGCTAGCTGTTCTCAGATGTTTGCAGTAACATAACGATGTGCTTATTTCATGAGCCGAGGCTTAAGTTCAGGTCGGTAGTTACAGCTTAGTGACGTGTGTGTGCGTCTGTGAGCGCACATCTCACAGACAGACAAAAAAACCCGCCAGGTTTCCTATGTCTGTTTTCCATCGACCTTAGTAATCGTCTCCTCGGCCGCTGCTTGCTTTGATCTGATCTTTTTCTTTCTGTCAAATCTGAGAAAATGCTTCTGGCCCCTTCTGGGAGCAGACTTAACATCAGCCTGTTCCTCCATAT